ATATATTTATTATTTGGCCAGTCGGGTCGAACAAAAACGACTTTTGTTTTGTATTTATTTACTGGCGAAGGAAGCTTCTTATTTTGTTTATATATATATATATATATACATTTTTTTATTTGTAAAAATGTAACTTTAAATATTTACTACATTTGCTTGACAATTTACGGAAAAATTAAAATATGACATGTATAAATACAATTGAAATATATGCAAGAGTAATTATATTATAATTGTGTAAACAATGCGATTTAATCTTAATTTTAATCACGCACATTATTTTAGGCGTTTTCGCGCAAGAAACTATATATCGAAGTGTTTCATCAACTCTCAAAGAATGTTACGAAAATAAGTATCTTTTAGAGAAAGATAATAGATTACCCCATACTTTGAATACATTAATCGCAATTCTCCAAAAAATCGAGAAATCGGAATCAAGCAGGGATTTACGAACCTTAACTGTTGGGATTATGCACAGGTAAAAGAAATTCTGATTCTCATATATATAATAGTGCCATATAAAAGATATATTTACGTGTAAAAGTAAGAATTAACCCTTAGCTGGCACACTTCACCAGAATCACATAATTGGCCTTTTGGGGTCGTTTCAGACCCCACCACTAAAATGCTTACTGCGAGGAAGCTATTGATTTTTTTACTTAAAAAAATTCCAAGATGGTCTTTGAATGTTGTTTTAACAAATGTCAGGTTATTTTGATAAAATGTAATATTAAGTATGAAAAAAATTGAAGAACGTAAAAGAAAACGAAAAAATAATTTCACTCAAAAATTCATAACTTTTATATTTGAACTCTTCCATTTTTTAGTACTATTTTCGTACTATAGGGAGGCTTAAATTAGAGCTGAACTAGGCTGGAGCGTTTAATACTCCACAGTGCCAGCTAAGGGTTAAGTTTGAAGTTTTTGAAATGCATATTAATATTTCATTAAAAACCATAGATTTCGCCAAGATGGAATAGAAAAAAATCCAAACGTAATAGAGCAATCTGGTGTATTGCCATATAGAGCAGCTAGCCAAGCTCAAAAATATGTAGTAATAACTCGTTTCATACCCGAAAAAACGGACCTTATTCGTTGGGACAACATACTCACTGATATCGAAAGGGTAAGTTTGACAAAAGACCATACACAACCTTTTAAATTTTAAATGTATAAAAATAAATAGTGTAGTTTTCAAAAGAACAGACTTTTACATTTCATGTATTTGATAAAAAAATTTTCATTTAAAAACATATATAAGTTATAGAATTATATATAAAATATATATCTATATACGTTTTTTTTTCTCTTGTACAAAACCTTGTTCATATAGGAAAAATAATGAGAAGAAAAATTAAAAAATAATTAAGAGAGGATAATTTTCTCATTAATTTTAATAAAAAATAAAGTTTGAAAAATGAGAAAAATTACAAATATACCTATATAATTATATGTAAATGTAATAATCATATATAAAATGATTATATATAGATGCAGATTATATATAGAATATTGTGTAACCGTAATTTTACTTTTTGTAAAAAGAAACAATGGACAAATTATTTCTCTAATTATTCTTTTTATTATTTTTTTAAATATATATGGTCAGAGATTATACAAGAGAAAGAAAACATATATATGGACATATTTTATATATAATTTTATATATTTATGTATATTTTTATATAAAATTTTTATCAGGTATAAAAATCTATACAGCATTTTATTTGACGGATATTTTTGCAGTGCACTCTTCATTTTATGCTGTCTAGCAGTATTGAAATCTTTGAAAGAGGGGATGAAAACACGGTATGTAGATACACCGACAATGCTTATAGAAGCGCGAGAAGTGTGACTTATTCTAATGGCACTTATTCCAATACAAATTTGGATGTGCACGATGATGTCGAAACCTTAACACCCGAACAAATGTAAGTAAGACAATGTAACATGATGTATTGTGAAAAAATAATGTAAATCGCATAAAAAATATTTGTTTTCAATATTGCTGTAAAATTAGAATATAACGATATTGTCATATTTATTGCTATGAAAATTGATAATTAATTATATAATTATGTTTATTTTCGCGTCAGTCGTGTTGATAAAAATTATAAACAACGCATTGTAAAAGTTACACATTATTTTTGATTATTTTAAACTGTATAACAAATTTATGCTGTTAGTCAATTAATTTTTAATTAATTTAAGTTAGTCAATTTTTTTATTTAAAAAATTATTAATATTAATATAAAACACAAATATAGTAAAACGACAACTTTTATAAAAGCAACTGCATTCAAGCTGTATAAAATTCTTTCAAATTGCAATTCGCTTCACTAATACATTCTTCAAATAGAAATGTCGCTATTATCACCGTAATATATCAGATTGTTTCGGGATAATATAAATTTTATTACAATCTTTACTATACGCGATATATTTTTGGAACATACAATAAATACATCTGTAGGTACTTATTTCTGAAAATTTTGGTTGCGAATATAGCGATGTTATCACCAATAATAAAAACGGAGTTACTGAACACGTGTTTCATCCAAACGCCTTGTATCCGGAATTACCGCCGAATCATCCGAAGATCGCTCGATATCTCAACCTGCCGCCGCTAAGCAAATGTCCTGTGGAGAATGGCGTTATAAAAACTAGGTATGTAGATTTTATATATAATTTTCATATAATCATACATACACGCACGCACGCACGCACGCACGCACGCACGCACGCACGCACGCACGCACGCACGCACGCACGCATTCGTCCTATAATGAATTTTATTATAGGTGGGGTCCTGTTTCTGCCGGGCCACTAATTGCTGGTATAGCTGCTGGCTTGCAACCCGAATTTGTAAAGCTCTCAGATGTGTTTCCTGAGGAAAAGAACGAAGAGAGAAAGGCAAATCTATCAAGATTATTATTGGATAATAAATGGATGGCAACTATAGCTGGTAACAAAGCGTTAATTTTTTCTTGTGTTAATGTTTTGTACTGTTTTATATGTCAAAAAAGATGTTCAAGAAAATTGATCAAAAAAATTGGCGTTAAATTTATGTGTCACAAACTCATTCATATATTTTTCAAAATTATTTTATCAACTTTTGATTATTGAATACATCCATTGCAGCAAAGAGATTATACAATTTTACATATTCGCAGGTGATTTAGCTGAAATTACTTTAATGCAAGGCCCTACAAATGAGAAGATTAGTATAGGTGTAAACGGCATGTGGAATTCGTCGGCTATGCCCCGTTGGTATTTCTTGAAATCTAATCAGAAATTACAATTTACCACGGCTGAGATTAGAGGTGACATTGACGGATTAATTCTTGCTAGCGAAATTGAAGCCTTATATTCCAAAGTGCCCACTTTGAGACTGTCGCAGATTTTGGATCAGTATTATAGCTCCCGCGGATTGTTTAATTCCTCAATTAGAGCATGCGATCGAAAAACATTATTCCAAACGATACCGAAATCGATAATGTCTGCACAGGTAATATTGCATAATATATTATAATATATTATATTTAATATATTATATAATTATATATAATATATATTATATATAATTATATATAACATATTATATAATGTAATTATATAACATATTATATTATACTGCGTAATAGATTATACAATCAATTCATTAATTTTGATAAGAAGAAATTGTAAATAAGATCGTTGCATAGACGTATAAAACTTTTAAAAATTATAGATCAAATCTTATGAATGAGGCATAGATTAAAGAACTTTATTTATAGGCGTACACTGCTTCACTAGTTTTGGAAGAATATCTGCATAGAGCTACAATAAACGATGATAGGATGCAAGAATTTGCGGCACAAGCAACAGACGAGCTGTCTCGTTACGTTGGTAAGTGTATTGGTATTTACCAACGTAATAGCAGGGAGATCGCATATTTTATTTTTGCGAAATAAAATACTCAGGGGCAAAATAAGAAGTAAGCTGTAAACCGTATAACTTTCAGGAGAAATGAATAAGGATTTAACATGTCAATCTGAGATGGACAATTTCAACGATGTTATTCAAGTCGCTATTGATCTGACAATTATTCTCGATACAACGTGGTCTTTTAACGCGATACAACCAATTATTGCGTAAGTATAACTTCCACGCATATATAAGCCATCTTAGACAAACATAATTCTGATGCACAAAAAATATACTTTATTTTTTTCTTGATAGAGACATATTGGATAATATCAAGATAAATCCATATAACAGTCAATTTACAGTTATTAATGGTCGTGATGGCGGTATCATGATTAATACTACCAATAGTATTTTAGACATCGGTTATTATAATACAACCCATTATACGAATGGTATGTTTGTATATTTACATGTTAACATATGCGTTAAACGATTATATTCTGTTACGAGCGATTTAAATTGAAAGTAACTTTTTTTTCAGTTACTAATAGCGGTTTCGATCTTCCTAAATCACTTGACAAATTACGTATTTTGCAAACAAAGAAATTGAACGATGAACGTAATGGTCTTGGACAAGCAAAATCTGATGTAGTCTTAATTATTCCATATACATCATCTCTTTCAAGTTCCGACAAGGACTACTGTATAGAACAGATCAAGCAGATGCGAGAGAAAGTACCAGGTAAATTGCTTTCTATAAAAACTGCATACTAAAATTATTATATCGATCATTTAGTTCAGCAATATTCCATACCTTTCTGCGATAATGTAAATTTAATGAGGCTTGATTATCGATATTATTGCAGATGCCACATTACTTATATTGGCTTACGGATCAATAGACAAATGGGCAGATCTTGTAAGTGATCCGTCAAATGATTTATTCTCCACAACCGCTGTGGGTGATATAGGAGGTTCAGCAACGATCGCTAAACTAATTTCGAGAATAAAACAAGGTAAATAGATAGACGAATATCATTTCTTTTGAAATCTACATAATTCTACAATATAACTTACTGTATTTTTATTTATAGTTCCACAGCGCTTAATCAATACGCAATGTGGAGCCGATTATTCTTCTGTTGGATCTACCAATTCGTTTATCGATTATATTGAACCGGCAACAGTTGTTTCGTACAGACTTCATCCTAATTATTTCTTTTCCACTGACAGCAGCCATGTTTCTCAGATAAAGGTAAAATTTTTCTTACACAAAATGTAAGAAATCATAATTGAACATGTTTTCTCTTTGAATATGTATTATAAATATTTTTTTAGATCAAAGGATCCGGTCGGGGTAATCTAAGAGTATGTACATCGCGACGTTTCATAAATATTAATATGACAAGTAGCTCATGTGAGTCGATAAATAATGATGTACATACTGTTACATTTTCCTGCGGTGATGCTGGTTTGATACATCTTTGTGATCCATTATATCTAACAATTATTGCTAATTCTTCAGTTACAAATTATCAATGTACAAGTAAGTACAAAGAAAGTTATAAAATGAGTTAAATTAAAAAATCGCATAATTTGTAGCAACTGTTAACGTCCCATTTTTAAGTATACATATTTTTATGCTAAATGAATATTGTCTGATCGAGATGTTATCTTTTCTTATATATCTCCTGTTTATATTTTTTTAGAGCCAGACGTGTGCAGATTTGCTCATATGATCGAATATACCATCTCCTATGAGAATCTAGTATGTGAAAGTAGTGCAAGCATAAATATACTAAATATTTTCGTTTTAATCATAAGCATAATATACATGTTTTTGTAATAAATGATACAAAAAATGTTACACAAGTTAATTTTTTTTAACAAATAAGATAAATGTGTTTGAACATTAGTGAAAATAGAATTAGAATTAGAATTGTAAATATCACTTAATACTGCTCTTTTGTGATAGGGTATGATGCGAAATATTTTGTAGTCACTGCATTTGTATATGTATGACACACTGAAACTTTCAAAATAAGAAAGTGTTGTGAAACTGCTTGCATAAATAAATCGATAACAAATAAACGGTATTGTTCTTTTAAATAAAAGGTTTACAGAGAGTTACTGTATGGTCCACTCCACAGGCAACCTTTCTCACTTGAGCCCCCACTGCAACCTGTTGCAAGAAGACAAAATATTACAGACGGAAAATTTCCATTATACATGTACATATATAATATACATTATACATATATTATATATGTATACATATTATATATGTATACATGTTATATACATATGTTATATATATTATACATATATTATATATGTATACATAAGTATAATATTGCGTTGTTTTATGTCCTGTTTATTCCTTTAATCGTGTTTTATTTGTGAAATATATGATAATAAATTTACCCTTAAAGGAAAAAATTGATCTTTTACATGTCCTAATCCCAAAGATCCAAATTTATTGCAACCCCACATGTACAAATCTCCTGAATTAGTTAGCGCTGCCAATTGACTAATCCCACAATATACATTTGTTACCTAACAAAGTGTGAAAACTTTATTGATGTACAGTTTATTAGTTTTTAATAAAAAAGACTTTTTAATGTAATTCAAATTTTTTTAATTACCTTGACAGTACGATTATATATATTATTGCCAAACAATGTAGGAGGAATTATAGTTGGTTTTAATACTTTCTGCACTTGAGGTCCAAGACCGAGTATACCATATCCCCATACATAGACATTACCATCATCTATAATGTAAATGCACAGAAATTAATACAAAAAATATTTAAAGAGGAACTATAAATAATAATCATTAAAACAATTGGTGAATTAACATTGTTATAACTTACTGTTTAAGACCATGCAAAAACTTCCACCTGCCGCAATGTCTATAATGTGTCCTAATTCCTGTGTATCTAATTCTGTAGCAATGTTTATTTGGTAACTATTTTCTCTGACTGGTAATTGACCATACTCTGAATTACCCCAACCATACACTTTTCCTTTATCTGTAACAGAAATATTTAATTTAATTTAATTTTATTTATATATATAAAATTATCTGTAATCTCTGACAAAAATAAATCTTTATATGCCAATATATATGCTATGTATATGCTAGACCAAGCAGTCAGTTCCTAGCAAAGTTGATGACAGAAAAACTCTGAAACAAAAAAGCTTTTGGATACATTTCTCTCTTCTCTTCTAAGGTAACCTGTAATCTTACGTGGTATCTTCTTGAGTCACAAAAAATAAAAGAGATGGTTATACTCAAAGATAATTCTTGTGGCACAGTTTCTTTTACAATTATCTATTTCACAAATTTTACAAGAACCACTTTAATTGTTTTCCCAATTACATAAATATTTGGTTTAGGTCTAGATATACTTGTTACATACCACTAAGAGCTAATACACAATCAGCGGCACAAGCAACTTTGATTATACGTTGTCCTGCTAGGTCACCCTTGACTAAACTCGGTCGATGTTCATTTTGATAGTGTGCAAGACCTGTTTGTCCATCAGCACCCCAGCCAAATGTATATACTTCACCTGTCTCTGTCAAGAGTATGCTGTTATATAATGTTAATGAGAAAATACATGATAAGAATTGTAAACGCTTAACAGTGAAGTGATTTTATACCTATGATCTTGACCAGCTGTTACTGCAATAATTTTGTTCCTTTTAACATCAGGTATACAATGCACAACCATACTTTTCTCATAATTTTCACTCAATATAATTGGTCTGCCACATTGGCCATATGCATTATTACCCAATGTAAATAAACCTTCTGTCGTCAATATTAATAAGTGTGCTCTTCCAGCAGCCATACCTATAACTTTAGTCGAGATATCTTGCAACGGCAAGGTTATCGGCTTTGGAATAAATACCATATTAGGAATTTTCTCATCAAGGTTATGACCTATTATAAAAAAAAAGATAAGCTATGATTCTTAAAATCAAAATTTGTTCCTAACAGAGACAAATAATACGTCATATAATATTAGTTAAAGTAGTCTTAATTACCAAGTTGTGAATCTGTGTTTATGCCAGTCCCATAAACAATATTCTTATCCGAAGAATGCACAGCGTAAGCTGTAAAGCCATATCCACAAGCAATATCTGTTACCTTATATCGCTCGGCAAAGGACAATCTTTTTGGTTTTGAAAGATACGAAACGTTATTCTTTCTCAATGCCCTTAGTTCACCAAGAGCACCGTGTTCCGCAAGACCCCACACGTACACTCTGCGGTCGTCCTCTTGACTTATTGGATATTGGAAAACTGCAAACAATGTGATTTTCAGTACTGAAAGTTGCTGACAAGTGAATATCAGAATGCAGCCATAGATATAATATTTGGAATAAATGTTTTCTAACTTGGGAAAGTTTTAAGCTCAGGCTTTGAAGGTACGGACTTCTGGTTGTCTAAATGCAAATTTTTAACATTTCTCGTGAGTCGTAAAAGACAACTTCTTCCCGCGCTGAACATTTCTCGTTTTCTCAAAATATATAAAATGTACAGGTTATTTGACAGTGTTTGACAGTTCTTCCACAGTTTCTTCTTGGGTTTTATCTTAAGGTGGAAGCACATAAAATTACAGGAGCCATAGGCAGAATGCAGAA